TATATATATATATATGTAAACAAATTAAAGCTTGTAATTAAGAGGTATAAAATGGGTTGAAAAGCAATGTACCAACAAAATTGTATTTCAGCGTTTCATAGAAAGAACAACTACTAAAAACCCAAACAAACAGGAAACAGATTATGTGACAAACCAAATTTATGGTTTACATTAACAAGAGCATTACGTATACGGGCTGGTTATAGCACAAGAGTGAAATATTTGCGTACTTGCATAAGAGATCACATAAAGAACATTGAATTTCTTAACTGTTCGGAATGCTAAATGGGCTATTTTGTAGGACTTATTTCTTTGATTATTTTACGACAACAACGCTTGTAAGAAAAATAACTTTATTCGGTATTTCTCCTGAAGATTTTATCAGGAACTTCTTGCTGCAAAAAAAAAGGCACAAAAAAGATTCGTTACGAACTAACACAATGCGTATGTTACGTTTGTTTTTCATTTATATATATATATATATATATAGAAAAGCCACAAAGGGCGATCTGCTGTCCCCACCGCGGAGAATCGAGACACGGATTTTTTGTGTTGTAAGTCCGTAGACTTGTCTTTATCTCGTATGTTTAGAACAGCACGGGATTCTATTCACGATATACTATCTTGTAGTAATTAATACTGTGTTGGTGTAAACGCCGTTCACAAGATGACGACCCATGATTATAACTAGTTTTTATAAGATATTAATATTAGGCCTACTATATTCTAAAACACCACATTCTTTATCTAGCCCCTTAGAGATTTCAAGATTTAGAAGAATGTATGATAATAGTATTTCAACCATGCTGTATTTGCCATATCCATTGCCGACGACACGTTTCCCTCAATCTAGCTCTCTCCAGACGGGCCCGGCATGGCCAGGTGGTTAAGGCGCTTGACTCGCAATCTGAGGGTCGCGGGTGCGAATCTCCGTCACACCAAACATGCTCGCCCTTTCAGCCGTGGCGGGCGTTATAATGTGACGGTCAATCCCACTATT